ACCATGTACAGCATTGAATAAAACAAGTACGATCGTACTATGGACCAGGAACGACCTTGTTGTTGGATGAAATTCAAAAATCTAATTCACTAAACCGATGCAGAATTGTGCAAAGAAGACGCACGCTAATTTTCATTTCGATCGGGCTTTCTGAAGAGCATCGTCACCCCAAAACCAAGAATAAGAAGAACAACAAGAAAAGTAGCGGTATTGGTCCAACATGTAAAAATAGTTTTTGACGCATATCCTACTCCCCGATAGAGATATCTACAGCATTTAAGAAACCAAGTTACAATATTTGGTCCTCGTTCAACACCTTGTCTCTTGTACTTTTTCGCTATCTCCCGTAATCGCAAATCCTTTATATCTTGAAACTCCTCGTCTTCCACCAGATTCGTTTGTCCTTTCCGCGCCTTCACAGCCTGGCTGTACATTTGTTGGGTGTAATGTTGATCGTTGTTAACCCGCATGGTTTGTTTCACTAGAGTCATTATGGTGTTAACATCTATTTCAAGTTCAGGGCCACGACCCCGAGTGTTGATTGCTGTAAAACGTCCGCCTGCTTCCGCTATAAGGTCTTTCAGTTCAGTTGGACTGTTCTGAACATGCTCGCTAATTGCTAAACCAGCATAATCCAGCGAATCTTTACCGGTGAAAACGAAAATTGCGTATTTCATGATATCCTGCCCAAACCAATATTTGAGGTGTTTGATTGTGTCCATCTCTTCCTGTGTAAATCTATCAATCTTCAGGACTAACAGGAAAGCGTGGGGACCTGGATGCGAAAGCTCTATACATCGTGTAAGTTCGTCAAATGTGTCCATAGTAGACACTTTAGTATCTGCAATTCCAGGTGTATCAACAATAACTAGTTTGGTTCCATCCACAAGTTGAGTCGAACCACGTCGACATTCTGGTTTGAAGGTATTTGTGATCTGTAGCGGGGTGGAGTTAAACTCTTTTCTCCAAAGTAAACTGTTTCCCAGTGAACTTTTGCCTGCACCTGTCTTTCCCAATAACACCAGTCTTATATCTGAAGGATAAACATAACATAATAGATCCACAAAGGGCCCACAAAACAGTTACCCAAGACCCTTCCTTATTCCAAAGTAAAAAGGCTTTTAAGGGACACTAAGATTTAATGATCTTTTCTTAAACCTTTTGGCTAGTTTTAGTCCACCTTACGATAGAAGTAGGAACTAAGTTTTGAAATTTATCTTTTTCCTTTAACACCAAATAAATATATGGTACTGAAGGGACTTCTGTGGATTTCAGGTGGTGCTAAAACATAGATTCGATACTTTGATCAAGTTGCAATGGTACCTGAAACTAAAATTACGACAATCCCGTATTTCAGAGGATAAATCATCCGCATTATTTTCTTTGGAAAACTATAGATCAATACTTTGATTGCTTGATGATTTATAAAAAAAACATGGATATCGGCCTCGCTAATGTTTTATGCTATAATTGTTGAGCTTTAAGTGACCAAGCGGTTGTATTCTGAGACTTGCCTCGACAGAGGGAGCATCGACGTACGAGCTGGGGTGCGGCCGTCCCCCCCCCCCCCATTTTGGGCACCAAATCCTGGTAAAATTTGGGCACACAATTGAACTTTGTAAAAGTTGTATAAAAAAAATATTGTGTTCTTGAATGTGTCCAATTTAACAGCGAATTTAAATTCAGAGTGTCTATAGTTAGGCAATTAAATAGAAATCTTAAGACTCGAACCCTCTATTGTTTGGAGTACAGTAAGCCACTAATTACAGTTACATAAACAACTGTTTTTAGTTGTGTATATTACAAGTAAATAAAATTTAGTTCTCTTTTTTTGATGATTTAGAAATTAAGAACTTATTCATCGCAAAAGAGATATTATGATTATTATGTAACATACTAAGAACCTAACTACATTTTTGGGGCACCAACCACCACCGCCCCCCCCCCCCCCCAGTAAAAAATTTCCCCGTACGCCTATAAGTACATATTAACATTTATAGCAATGGAATTAAGATAATCAAACGGTCGATCAATCACATCGATATTTACACAGAATGTTGAACACGGGTTAAACTATTCAAGAAGTCGTAAAGGTGAACATTGTGTAATAAGACTAGTAATGTATGTAGTTTTAGCTGTATCTAAGTACATATTAGCACTGAAATTAAGGTAATCAATCCGTCGATCAATTAGTTCGATATTTACACAGAATGTCGAACACAGGTTACACTATTCAAGAAGTCGTAAAGGTGAACATTGTGTAATAAGACTAGTAATGTACATGGTTTTAGCTGTATCTAAGTACATATTAGCAATGGAATTAAGATAATCAAACGGTCGATCAATTAGTTCGATATTTACACAGAATGTTGAACACGGGTTACATTATTCAAGTCGTAAAGGTAACCATTTTGTAATAAGACAAGTATTAGCTCTTCATCCAATCAATCACAAGTCCCGTTAATCGATAACGTTGATTTTGTCGAATCGGTACCTGAACCGCTCTCCTTGTTATTTGTAGTGCCTCAAGGGCCAGTTCTTTGCCCTATCCTGTTCTGCCTATTTACCATTCCCAATAAGCACACAGTCTGTAAACCACCCCTCAATTACAAATGACACACATTGTTTTGAGACCTTTCCTTCGGCATTCCAAAATCCCTACGCGCAAGTGAATTATTCAAATAACATAGCACCATAAGTTAGTCCCAAAATAACCCCCTATCTTTGTACTTGACTTGAAGTAGAGACTTACGCCCGCTTCTACCTAGGATGATATCGCAGACAAAATCTCTTGAACCAATTATTGTGTATTAGTATATAAAGGGACACAACTCTGTTTTATTTATTGGTTATATGGATTCGAGCCACTAAACATCTAGGTAGACAAACTAACTCTCATTCTTCGATAACAGCAGTCATTTTAATTTCCTTATTTCGTTTAAACGTTTGGTTATTTTATTTTGATTAAACGAAATAATTAAATAAGTGTGTATGATTCTGTGGAATCGTGTCAATAAGGGATGATTCCGCAGCTGTTCACGAAACTGGCGCTATCAAAGAAAATGTGGACTCTTAAAAGCGACATTTTTTATTCTCTATTTTACAATTTGACTTAGATTCGTGATTATTATAAACTTGAATACTGCATGTATTTATTTTATTACGTGATAATATTAAAATACTAAGTCTGTCATTTGTTTATGTCTATATTAATATTGTTTATAAATTAACATTAAAATCTGATGTTTTAATACAGTGTATACACGGTCTTTCCATATCGCCGACTCAACAGAATTTAGAAAGTCGACCGCGGCACAATTTGATGGGTTAAAAACGGATTAAAAGCATTAATGAGGCAGGGACCAGTCATTATTAATATAGTTCACTTAAATTGATTTTTATTAGAATTCAACTCACTTATTAATAAAATGAATATAGTTCACTTAAATTATATGAACTTGAATTTTGTCAGAATTCAACTCACTCATTAATTAATATAGTAATAGACTACAGTTCAACATGAAGCTGACAGGTGATCGAAATTCAGTTCACTGTGATTATTTCTCATAATAAGTTGAATACGTAAATCATATTTATATTCATATCTTTCTACGATGGCTAATGCACAGTTACAATCTAAGTTTATTCCTACAGCAAAAGGTGGCAGATACCTATGTGTTGCTGATTTTAAGTATAGACTAAATAAGAGAAACAATAACGACTTAGTGATATGGCAGTGCTGTGAAAAAGGAAAGGGATGAAGGACTACGGCATCTACCATTAACGATATAGTTAGCAGAATAGACTTCTACCACACCCACCCACCAGCACATTCCGATATACAAATAGGTTACTGTGTTATAAAAAGTATCTTTAAAATTGCACTTCAATTCTCAATTGGAGGGTCTAGAGCACAAGTGATCTAACAACCAACTAAAACGGTTGGTAGTTAGATCACTTGTGCTCTAGACCGTCCAATTTCTGGTAAGTTTTGTTGTAAGCTTCTATTCTACTATTTATACATTATTATTAAAAAATAAATCTTAATTTATAGATTACAGAAATGATGCAGTTCTTAAAGGAATGGGTCCAGTCTACGACAACTCCGATTACCCAACTTTATCAAGAAGAAATAATTGGTAAACGAAATGGTGAATGGGCAGAAGATATATAGCCACCATCGCCCAACATGCCATTTTTTTACTTTTAATTGGAAAAGCTCGTCCTAATATTTTTGAAGTAATGGCATTTTTGCAAGAAGAGCAAAAGGCGATTGAAATTCAGTTATTGCAGTATTCAAGTGGCCAGCGACAACCACATAAAAAGAAAAAAATACTCCAATATCAACAGGAAGATTGAAGATTCGAAACATAGATATGAATAAGGAAGAAAGAATTTGTTAGAATTTTTGGACTATGTTGGACACTTTATGCGTGCAAGAAGTTAAAATTATGTATTATGTTATGTGTTAAAAAAATAAATGCTCCCAAAATTATCTGCTTAATTAGCTTTATCCTTCAGCTTGGGTCTATTGATCTTGGCCACTCAACCCCTTAACGTAGACCAAAATTTTCCCCCTAAAACTCGGCGAGTCGGCGATATGGGAATTAACCGTATATACACTTGTCGTATTAGAACGTAATGCACTACATACCAATAGTGGGAGGGGGTCTAGTGTTTTATTACGGTGTATACACAGTGTATTAATGTGTATACACTTGTCTCATTACAATGTAATGCACTACATATACTGGAGGGGGTCTAGTGTTTTAATACACTGTATACACTTGTCGCATTACAGCTTACTGTACTAAATATATATACGAGGAATAGGAAGAATACAAGTGAGGAATTCGGCGATTTCAAATGTGCATTTATTTCAATATTCTGTACAGAACATGTCTTCATAATAATAATAATAATAATAGAATATGACTCGATATCAGTATTGGTAATTTCTATTTCATAGATATTTAATACAGAATTTAAGAACAATCCATTTACGTCAGAATTCTGTATTTAGGACAACTGACTGTATAGAACATAATAATAATAACAATAGTGCACGACTAGATATCGGTGTTCGTAATCAGTATTCGTATTGTCATACAGAATATCAGAATCGAATACACCAACTGATAACAGGTATAAAACAATTATAGAATTAAACAACATTTTTTAAAAAATCAGTTTTGGTTAGCTGCACTGGATCCAAGTAGTAAAGTAAAAGCAGTGGCAGCAACTACAGCTCCTATTTTAGATAAAAAACCATAATCCTGTAAAAAACAAGTTATAATAAATATAGAGACCAAGACTAACTATCAACACCTGCTATCCATAGATATGGGAAAGGTTTGTCTAAAGTTTTGTTTAGCTGCGCTGGATCCAAGTAGTAAAGTAAAAGCAGTGGCAGTAGCCACAGCTCCGATTTTAGATAACAAACCATAACCCTGAAAAACACGAGTTATAATAAATATAGAGAAAGGTCAGTCTGACTGTTAAAGGGACTATCCCGATTAAAACAGAGTCTCAAAAATATAAAGTCCGAGTTCGTATGAAATTTAAGCGCCAAAATAATGAGGAATGATGTATTCACCTTGTCTCAAAATTTCAGCTCAAAATATTGTGTTGTTTGGACGTGAACGTCAAAAATGCTTATCCAGACACGTAACCCTTTTAAGATTTCTGATAATCTATCGCCGTTCCTTTAGAGGTCTATACAGTGAATGACCCATGTGCCGTACTGGATAACGAAAGGTAAATTTCACCTACACATTGTTTTTATAAAAGAAAAGTCCGGTTTTATCCAGACACCGCCTAATACAGCTTGGGACACCGGTCTCCATTTCCATATGAAGAATGACGGGTGTGAGTTGTTTGAAAACACAAATATTGAATTAGTTACGGGATTTTAAGGTGTTTTAACACAAAATTAAGCAGTTTTAATCTCCAAAATATTATCGGGATTGGCCCTTTAACAAACTCCTGAGGCAATGGCTGATAGCTTTACCTGTTCTCCATAGATATATGAAAGTTTACACTATACACAAGCAAACACATTTCCTTCAGATTTAAATATTATTCATTTTGTAAGAACTAAATCTGCCGATTGCAGGTCTTTATTTTGGCCCCAAATGTTATATAAATTATTAATTAGATATGTATTCACATGACAAGCGCAGAATCAACTCTTTAGATCATCGCGTGTTCGCGATTTTCAGTGCATGTTTATTTTCTGTGAGTGGCATTAAGCAATTGACATGTAATAAACACAAAAACATAATTTGGAACAGAATTACTATTTATCGTCAATATAACCCTCAACGAAACGTTGCTTTAATTAAAATAGTAATTGTGTTCCATATTATTTTTTGTGTTTATTATCTTGTTTAGTATTATCATAATTTCTATAGTAACAAAGATACTTGACGATTGAGATTATATTTTGAACCCTTCGAAGCCGGATCATGGCGAATAATTTGACTGCGATTTTTTATATATTCATTTTTCATAATCTATTTTTGATTTGATCCAGTATAGCATGGACGGTCAACTCTTTATCTAACTAAACCTTCCATAATTCATCTTAAAAAAAGATATAATTACCTCGGATGGTACATCTTCTAACCAATTCAATGTGGATTCAGCACATCTTTCTATACTGCGAACTTTAGGTGAAGATGTGTCGGAAAAGGGATTAACGGGATCAAGTACATACGTTGTTTTAGGGAAGAAACTTGACCTAAACGGATGCAAAGAAACACATATAATTCAATTTTAGCATACAAATCCTACGGGAAGACATGCCATACCACACTATATAGCTCTAGATTGGTATGGGCACTGGGTGTAAAAGCTGAACAAATAACTTTGTTAAAATAATTCAGCTTACCAATTATCCGTGTTATAGATCCCAGGTATTGTGATCTGTAGTTGTCTATAGGAACTAAACAACTCCATAGCTTTATAAAAACCAGTTTTCATATCGAAGTTAGTTTTACTGTTCAGATATTTGTGGAAAATATATAGCCCCATTACCTCACAACAATACGATGTCATATCTAGCCCATTCGTCTGAAATATTAAAAAAATCATGAAACATTTCATGTATCAATTGGTTTGATATGTGAACGTCTAAACAGGTAACTAAAATGGGATGATATTTAGTGATACTTCAGCACCAGCCGAGTTATATTTCGCCAAACATAATACGAGGCTAACTAAAAAGCACCACAGTCTGGGTTATAAGAAAAAAAAACATTCTGTTCCCTACAGGTATTTGGTATATTTGTGTCGTTAAAACCATGCCACTCATATAAACTCTAGCGAGTTGTAGCAGCCATTGTTACTTATCTTTATATGCCCAATCGGGGCAGAGCAGTAGAAAGTTAAACCACACCCCATCCCATTCCATCTTGTTTCACCCCATTCCATTTCATGCTATTTCTTTCCCATTCCATTTCATTTCATTCAAACCCATTCAATTTCATTCAAACCCAATCCATTTCATTCAAACCCATTCCATCTCATTTCATTTCATTCCATCTCATTTCATTTCATTCCATCTCATTTCATTTCATTTCACTCCATCTCATTTCATTCCATTTCATCCCATTCCATTTCATTTCATTTTATCCCATTCTATTTCATTTCATTTCATCCTATTTCATCCCATCCCCTCCCATTCCATTTCATTCAAACCCATTCGATTCCATTCCATTTCACTTCATCCCATTTAATTCCATTGTATCCCTTCTCATTTAATTTCATTTAATTTCATCCCATCTCATTTAATTTCATTTAATTTCATCCAATTCCATTTCATTTCATCCTATTTCATCCCATCCCATATCATTTCATTTCATTCAAACCCATTCGATTTCATTTCATTTGATTTCATCCCATTCATTTCACCTCATCTCATTTCATTTCACCCCATCTCATTTCATTTCATTTCATCCCACCCCATCCCATTTCATTTCATTCAAACCCGTTCGATTTCATCCCATTCCATTCCATTTCACCCCATTCATTTCACCCCATCTCATTTCATTTCACCCCATCTCATTTCATTTCATTTCATCCCATTTCATTTCATTTCATCCCATTTTATTTCATCCTAGTATATATTACTAGTATATATTATATTAAGTATTTATTATATAAAATATTTGTTATATAAAGTATTTATTATATAAAGTATATATTATATAAGGTATTTATTATATAAAGTATATAATAAAAGTATTTATTATATAAAGTATTTATTATATGACATTTATATAATGTATTTATTAAGCACAATATTATGTAATATCTAAAATATCATATCAAATATTTATTAAAGATACATTATGGGAGATTAGATAACAGCTGACAGTTATCTCTATAATAGTTAAAAATTAGATTATGTAAAGATAATTTGCTGAAATTGGTCCACTATGAACCAAGAATTAAGTTGAGCAGCAAATCGGATCATAATCCAATAAATATCGCAGGCAAGCGCCGACATCGAGAGTTGATTATGGTCTGGATAAGTTAATTAATGTCTAATTAATAATTTAGATAACATTTCAGGCCTAAAGAAAGACCTGCAATAGGCAGATTTAGCTCGTCCATAATGTATTTATTATGCACAGTATTATGCATGTAATATCCAAAATATTATGCATGTAATATCCAAAATATTATATAAAGTATTTATAAAGCACGGTATTATTTAATATTTAAAATATTATAAAGTATTTGCATTACCTTATACCAGTATTTAAGCAAACGAATCAAGTCTTTAACTTTAGGTGGTTTGGGTTGAATCATTGCCAGTTGTTGTTTACAGAAACAAACGGAGTAGTGTTCCCGGACATGAATTGATTTATTTTTCATTTCTCGATAAACTGACTGCATATTCCCACCTGTTGTAATATAAGTAATCTAAATAAACAAAAGATGTCCTCTACCCCCCATTTGTTGTAATGTAAATGAAATGAAATGAAATGGGGTTTAACGTCCAACTGGGCTAATGAAGACGGGCATACGCCATACAGTGTGCTATGGGGGAAATTTTGGCCGGGCAGCAGCGCTACGGCCTACTCTTATATCGAATTCCAACTGCCAAGGGATCTTTTACGTGCACGCCAACGTGTACACGGGACCTCGGTTTTTCGTCCCATCCGATCGACTAGACAGCTGTCATTGTCAGGCCCTCCGTCCTGCATCACTGACAAGGGGAAATCGGGATGAGGTTTCTCGGCCAATGCAGGGATCGAACACCGGACCTCCGGGCTTGCAAGGAATGTCTTATGGACTGTACGGACGACGTAGCTGCTGTGGATGTATGTTTTGTTGTCTGGCAAACTATCTGTAATGTTATCGAAGATATAGAGTTGTGGTATTACATAAATAAATCTAGCGACTGAAAAATTGTAACTCCTAACCACATTTGTGGAATTAGGAATTACGAGTAATTAAGAATTCTGTGTCTTACCATGTCTGGCGACTACATCCATTGCAGGTATAACATCCACTTCGACAGGCTCACTGCTACCCTTGTACTGAACGTATACCATAAACTTGATGAAATATTCGTTATATTTTAGTACACGTATTGAGTCCATCCAGCTTAACAATCCTGGTTTGGGATTACACATATATTTCCTAACATCCCGAATAATTTGTGGTTTATCTGCAATCAAACTCTCAATATTCTTATAACCATTGAAGAAAACTACCATATCAGCATCAGCATCACTCAAAATAGATGTCCCCTTTCCCAACGAACCACTCTACAATCAAATAAAAAAGCTGATTTCTCAAAAGGGTCATGGATCAAATTTTTTAAAATACATAACGTGTATTTTTGGGGCGACTCCGTATAACCACATGTTCCTGAAGCAACGACTGTGAGTTTTACAACATCTGGACGTTGCCTGTTTACTTCACAATTCCCGAACTTATAGCTATGTTATCTACAGACACGTGACCAGTAGCGTCCAATCAGAGGTTGTGACATCGCGACCTCCACGGAAACCTTGCCATTGAATGAACCTTGAACTATGCAACTCGATTATCACAGGTAGACATTTTAGCTTGAAAGCGCGAGACTTGATATTCGCGACGATCGAGGAATCTGATAGGCTCACAAGCTTGGCTTGTACCCAATCGAAATTAGTGCCGACATATGCAGGGTATTATGTGAAGGCCTTGATAAGATGTACGTAGTTAAAGCGAGATCAAGCCTTTTATTGAAGATGGTATAACCACGACTTTAACATGGAATATACAGTATCTAGAAAAGCACAGGATCCGTATTAAAGATATGTTAAAAGACAATGTTGGTGCCAGGCATTATCACATATTTGATAGAACTGGTTAAACATGTTCCAAATATTAATTTATCACAGAGATCATTGCTACGATAGGTGCGTAAACAATGTTTCAAAAATCGGAAGTGACGAACGCAAAAGGACAGCACGGGTTATCCCTCTGTATAACTGACTGAAGTGACGAGTGATAACAGATAAATGAGCGAATTTCTGCTCACTAATAATTCTTAGGAAGACCAAAAGTTGTTATATGAGACTGTGCGAGTATATCTGACAATTCAAAAAAGTAATTGAATGTCACTAGATAAGAGAGCACGAGAAAAATAGAAACAGTCCGTACATTCACGTGTGTTTATTCATTCTATACTTATAAAAACATGGTAATACACGGACTTTTTCTGTTTTTCTTTCATGTTCTCTTATATAGTGACAGTCAAATAAAACAGAGCTGTGTCCCTTTATAAAAATGAACAAAACCCCAATTTGTTAGAGAAAGATTTGCCAGCGATATCACCCTAGGTTGGCGCGAACGTTACGCTCGACTTTAAGTCAAGTGAAGAGACAAAGATTCAGCGACCAGTCGCTACAAACTAGGTAATATCGGGACTAACATATGGTCCAATAATAATTCAATAATTCAGTGGCGCGTAGGGATTTTAAAATAGCGAAAGGGTGCTGTGTGTTATCTCTCTACCGTAGCCTACAAATCGTGTTATGCCAAGTTCCCAGCCAATCTGTTTCACAGAGGATTACGAAAGTCTTTCTAATATCTCTGTAAAAGATGACTATCTTTAACACGTGACGTCTCATCACGCGGCGTCAATCATTGGCTCGATGGCGCGCGCATTGTTTACATAAGACGTTCTAGTTCGGGCAGAATGGAGACTTTTACTCATTTTCATACCCATTTGCACTAAAAAGGAAATAATTTTTACCTACAAATACGTCAAACGCCGTTATTTATTTTTCCAATACATAAAAAAATGTTTTAGAATTAATTTGTCGCAGGAAAAAGTTAATATGTCATCGATGTCATCCCTATCAGTGAGTGTAGCGGCCTAGCGAAAATTCACTGCTGATCAGTGTGGTTCCTAGCATCGCGATTGGCGTTATGAGTGAACTCGTGGTTTAAATGATGGAGTAGCTGTGGGGATCCTAACGGGTCTTATCATATACTGAGGTCAGCCGTATAAATCGTGTTTATCGTACCGAAACGTATATGAACGTATCTTTACGTACGTACCAGATCGTGGACTCAATAGAGACAGACAACCCTATCGTAACGCATCGCGTGATCGGCGCGTCGAATTACCCAATAACACCCAATAACTGCCCAATAACACCCAATAACTCCAAAAGAACACCCAATAACTCCAAAATAACAACCAATAACTACAAAATGTTGACTTTGGAAACACAAAATAACAATTTAGTTGAATTTAAGAAGCATCGCTGCTTTGTGTCCAAATCGGAGTTTCACGCTCACTCGACTGAAGGGAGATAACTCGTATATGTGATTTTTGTTGACAAGAAATTAATAACACCCAATAACTGCCCAATAACACCAAATTGCTGACTTTGGCAATCAACGGCATTAATTAGCTAGACTCGTGATCGGGTGGATGAACAGTTTTAGATATTTGTCTTATTATAAAAATGTTTACCTTGACGACTTCCTGAATACTGTAACCAGGCATCCTGTGTAAATATCGAACTAATTGATCGACCGTTTGATTAACACGATCTTTAAAATCATTTGGTGGCCTGATCTCTCTATCTATAAACTTCTCCAAACTCTCTCCTCGTTCATAACCTCCCAGGTAGCTACTCATCTAAATATAGAAATTCATATCAAATTAATAAGTTTTTCGACAATCTGAATAAAATACAGAGCTCTCCTTCGTTTCATTTTTATACTATCTATGGCCTCCCCAACATTCATATCTGACTGGTTGCAGTGGGAGGGGTGTGTCAGGGGTAATAAGATCTGACTGGTTGTAGTGGAGGGAGGGGGGGGGAAGAGGGAGGGAGGGAGGCTAAGTGTTACGACAATCTGATTAAAATACAGATCTCTCCTTCGTTTCGTTTTTTAAACCTTCGATGGCTTTCATTATTATAAGATCTGACTGGCTGCAGTGAAGGGAAATGAAATGAAATGGGGTTTAACGTCCTACTCATCCTCGGTTACCCAGTGTACTCATTCCGTTCTACTCCACTATACCCTGGGTTAATCTATGGGGAGACACGTTTTCAAGTTATCCGCCCTTGAGGATTGTGCTATTTTTATCGACCAATCCCATAAATTGTTATTTGAAAAGGAAGTTGGCAAAGGTAAGTAACTCTTATCGGACACTGTTAGGATTTGGCCCATTCTAAATGCGTAATTATTAACAACCAATTATATATTATGTTAATGAAGACCAGACGTTCATATAATAATGTAGGGTCATTAGTTTTATTTAGAATCGTTAGTTCGTTCCCGGAATTTTATGTCCACGTGATATCGTAGACAAGTTATTGTGAATCAAATTGCCAAGTATAAGTTCAATAATAATAAACATAACAGAATGACATATTTCAGACAAAGAACGAATAGTAATAATAATAACCAAATTCAAACATATAGATGTTATACATATTTGAAACCAGCGAAACATACTACAGATTTTGATAATACAATTAAATATAAATAAATTATAAATATATACATTATTTACATAAATCATTCAGTAAATGGACATGAATATGGTTATCTACCCTTATAAAAACGAAGGCGAAACGATTGGTTTGTAAACTGTTTTCTGATTGGTTCGTAGACTGTAGCTACATTCTAGGCCAGGGCAGATAATTTGAAATCGTGGAAAGCCTATGGATTAACCCAGGGTATAGTGGAGTAGAACGGAATGAATACACTGGGTAACTGAGGATGCGTCCTACTGTTCTGCTACTAAACTGGGCTAACGAAGACGGGGGTGGGCGTCATACAATCGACTTTTGACAATATTCGGAAATAAACTTGTTCTTTTTATTTATAGTTTTAATCTCACTGGTTGTAGTGGGGTGGTGGGTCGCGTCAGGGGTCATATACTTGTTTTTTGTTGGAATGATGTAGCTCTCAAAATTACATGTTATATTCTACTTTTAAAGCCCAAAACTGTTCAACTAGTCTCTTATGGTCAGCGCGAGTTTAGTTATCAAGCACCTGTTTTATGGAATAATCTACCATTTAGTTTAAGATGTTGTACATCTCTATATTCTTTTAAAAACCAACTTAAAACACATTTATTTAATCAGGCTTTTAACTGACTCTGTATACAATCGTTAACATGTCCATGATCTTGTTGTTTATGTATGATTTACATTGTCACTTTGTAAAGTGCCCCTGAACATTTTATATAAAAGGGTGCACTATAAATATGCTGTAATATTAATAATAATAATAATTCGGATCCAAATATGCACCACAAATCACGATTGACACCCATATCAATAATAAGGTGTACCCCGGATTCAAAGTTTGCTCTATTAAAAGTTAAAGTCAACACAGCGAATCATCACGCTCAAATGACTCGATCCCGAG